TGATAAAACGCTATTCCTTCCAAGATAGCGCATTGATAGCGTTAACGTTTGTAAACTTAGTGAACGTTCGAAACACTGTGAAGTGCACATCACTGCATGCCACTGCATTTTAATCATACCTACGTCACATGTACGTTTATTTTACTATTTACGCATGTAATAAACAATTCGATGGAAGTAAGTAAATAGCTTCAGAACGCTGAAACTGGATGTTGAGATGATACAACAGCATAACGTAGTAACGTTAATACTATGCTATCGCTATTTCCTATCGCAGTCCCCTATTGGTTTTATGAACAGTTTTTGTAGCGTTTGCGTTAAAAGCATTTCTTAATAGCGTTTCTCCGAAGAAAAGATCCAAGAGCATCTAAAGAGATATGCTTGCAGTCCCCTCATTAACATTTATTACTGGCTGTAATAAATTGGCCAATGATAATAAGTAATTTTATTGCTTGTACGAGTAATAAAATTATTCGTATGAATAATAAAATTATTTATTATCACCGGCCAATTTATTACAACCAGTAATAAATTTCTGTTAGGATCTCTAATAGAATTAAAGTGATACAATTGTACTCTTTTTGAACTAGAATAAAAATGATAGAAACAAAGTGAATGTATAAGAACAAAATTGCTCATTACCGTAACAGACGAGAGAATATTCGTTATTATTATTTACTAAGCATTCAAAAGTTTTCTTAGTTTGTACAACTTGCTGTAACTTGCCTCCACGCTGTTAACAAAATTAATTGTGAGTCCTTCGGTAATTCTTACCGAATGTATGATAGTACACAGTCTGTCCCAGATCCAATGAGACTGGTCTAAAAAAAATACAAAGCGTTCATTATTTTGATTTTTTACTCTTGTTTATTCAAAATAGTCTCCTTCTGAGTCAATACAGCGCTGGAAACGTTCAACAAATTTTTCGAAACATTTTTTATACTCATCGGCTGGAATGGCCTTTAGTATGGCGGTCGAAGTCTTTTGGATGACCGGGATGGTATCGAAACGATTTCCTTTCATCGGCAATTTCAGTTTGGGAAATAGCCAGAAGTCGCACAGAGCCAAATCAGGTGAATACGATGGATGATCGATAACAATGATGCCTTTTTTGGTCAAGAATTCACGTACCATGATGGCTTTGTGCGATGGTATATTATCGTGCAACCTTCCGTTTGCCCAAATCTTCGGTCAAAATTCGATAGACTGTGCTTTTCGGTATCTCAGTTTCCTCTTCGATGAGTCTCGCAGACACACAGCGGTCGCTTCGAAGAATTTCTTTGACTTTCTCGATGTTTTCTTCATTGCGAGTGGTTTTTGGCGGCGGTGCTCGGTCATCGTCTGCAAGGTCCTCACGATCGTCACGGAATCGGCCAAACCAACGGAAAACCTGTGCACGGGACATGCATTCATCCCCGTACACATTTTTTAGCGTTTCGTACGTTTCTGCACCACTTTTACCCAATTTAAAAGTTGGTTTTTCGACCGACGTACACAAAGTGACTTTACATAAAATGTCAAACCACAGTGAAATATCAACCGAATTCGCTCAAATTTTGAGGTTAAGTAGATGAAGGGTAGAACATTCACCTACCATCATTCACTCATAGATATCGCTGCGCTAAGAACTTTGATAAAACCAGTCTCATCGTATCTGGGACAGACTGTGTATGTATGGTATGGTATGTATGGTGTACGTTCCTGTGTGTGCGTCCGTGTGTGTTTAACAAAGATAAGACCTACATCTTATCAAGATAAATGAGGAATCTAAGTCTTTACGACCATGGCGAGTCTCGTGATTCATTATGTTCGATTATCATCCCATGATCTCTTTAATTTGTACATATCTCACGTACGTGCATTGTGACGTCGGAAAAACGACGCTTATATTAGGTGTGTGAATTAATTCGGTCCGTTTTTTCTTCCAAAAGACTTTAGACTTATGCAAAAATATGAAAAAGTACGCTAATCAAAGTATTTACTATCCGCTTGCTATTATTTTTTTCCATCTGTCTGGCAGTTGTTGCATTCCGTGACGGAAAAACGACTCGTCTTTCAAAGCGATCCATTCATTGAGCCATTTCTCTATTTCTTCATAATTGTTAAAGTGCTGGTCCGAAAGCCCGTGTGCCATCGATCTGAACAAGTGATAATCGGATGGAACAATGTCTGGTGAATACGGCGGGTGAAATAAAACGTCCCAGCCAAGTGCTTCCAAGATGGCCTTCACAATCTTTCCAACATGTGGCCGAGCGTTATGGTGCTGGAAGATCACTTTGTCGTGTCTCTTTGCATATTCCGGCCGCTTATTCTTCAATGCGTTTATACGGATCGATTGTTGTTGGTAAAGTTCGGCAGTGATGGTTTGGCTCTGCTTTAATAGTTCATGATACACTACACCCTTCTGGTCCCACCATATACAGAGTATTACTTTCTTGCCGTGAATATTCCGCTTTGGTGTCGATGTGGATGGTTTTCCTGGGTCGCTAATAGATTTCCTTCGTTTGGGATTATCGAAATATATGCACTTCTCGTCTCCAATACGATGCAAAAAATCTTTTCTTTTTTGCCTGGTAAGCAAGATTTCAGACATGGCTTTTCGCCTCTCGATGTCTCTTTCTTTCAGTTCTTCCGTATGGCATCCATCTTCCTCCTTTGTAAATCTTTCCCATGGTTGCCAAACGCACAGAAATTGTTGATCGATCAACATTCAATACTTGCGCGAACTCATGTTGCGATTTACATGGATCTTCATCGATTAGCGCCTGCAATTCCTCGTCCTCGAACTTCTTCGGCTGACCTGGACGAGGTTTGTCATCGACACTGAAATCATCACTTTTGATATGTCGAAGCTATTCTCTGCATGATTTATCAGTGGGAGCACTTTCACCATAAGCTTCTACGAGCCTTCGATGAGCTTCAGCGGCTGTTTTCTTCAAATGAAAACAGAAAATGAGAACTTCCCGGAAATTATACTTTTTTGGCTCGAATTTCGACATTTTCGAATCAGATAAACACGATGTTATTGTTACAAACCCAAATGTTTATCAACTGAATATTATTGTCAGATATAAAAACTAAAAAATAAAGCCTTTTGCAGACATTAGAGGTTAAAAAATTACATAGTACAGCAATTGACCGCCAGATGGACCGAGTTAATTCACGCATCTAATATAAAGCTTCTTCGTGGTCCACAAATGCACACTACATAGACGGAGCCAGTGACACCCGATGTTTGGATTGTCATTCGGGTGAGTACCACGAACTTAAGATCTTCGTCGTGAAGATGCGCGAGTTTGTCTTCAGGAAATTTAGCGGCGAACTTCTCGACACAAAATTATCCTGTCGATTCTCTACTTGAGAACGTTATTCCTTTGTTCTTTTCTGCGAATTTTCTGTAAAACTGTTGGAAAGTTATGTATATTTTTTTTATGGAAAGTTTATTTCTAAAAAAAATATTCGATATATCGGAATTATAAATATTTCGCAATTTTTAATTATGCTAATATTGAAACACGAACGAAAAATTCTATCAGGAGTGATTCAACTTTCGATGAGACCTTGTAAAACACTGACAATGAATGAAATATCAGCAAGAGGCTATCGAAAATAGACGAGTTACTCGCGAATGTACTCGGCGAATTTCTTTGTTGACTCACGCGACGATGGATGATCGTTTTTTATCAAATGCCGTTTTTTATCAAAAATGTAAGAACTCAGTAAATCATTATCAGTCAGGACAAAAATTAAAATCTCTATTGTGATAAGACGATCAGGTTTATAATTAAAAAAAACTGAGAAAAGAAAGAAGTTCTATATAGACAATAAACAATCATCGGTGAAAAAATCATTAAATAATATTGATTAATTGATAATAAAATTATACTCAATAGATAAGCAAGAAATATTAGATGAATATTTCAAAAATTTCGATTTTTCGTTCATTTTTATATCATTTTATATCATTTTATATCATTTTATATCATTTTATAAATAATACTTTATAAATATTTTACAAAAATATTATTGGGTGATATATTTTTTTTTGATAAAATTAATTTATGAATAGACCTCAGCAACTTTCGACTTGAAGATAAAAGACAGAATGATCTTTGTGAGAGATATAAAGGAATTGTTCATATGACGATTAGAAACAAAAAAAATGTAACAATACTGCTAGCGGGATGTCACAGAAAGTCACATAAACTGTGTCGGTGAAATGAAAAAATTGGCATGATGGATAAATTTACTTACTGTCAACATCCGCCTTTCTCGAGTGTTGCGATGTAATTAAAAATGAAGTCGTTGATTGTGCAAAGACTGCCAACGTGAGATTCGCTGATTGATAAAACTACGTGATCGATAATGCGTCTTCAGGATATCAAATAATTACAGGAAAACAGATTATTCGCAAAGATACGATATATGCACGATAATATTTCGAAATGTCGCTACTTTTTATTCCAAGCCGAAGTTGAAATTCGGATATTCGGAATCGTCACCAGAATATTTCACATGAAAATATTTGCAACTCTTACGGAAATTTATTACTGGCCGTGATAAATTGGTCAGTGATAATAAGTAATTTCATTACTTATATGAATCATTATTACTAGTCAATTTATTATAGCTAGTAGTAAATTTCTGTTAGGAAAATAGATCGGCACTCGTTGATAACAAATCTGACGACTCTCTACTAGTACATTTTTGTAAATAAAACATAACAGTTTTTACGAACGTCGGCCTCTCCTTCGTACCCCCAACCACTTCTGTATCTTCCGACTTGCGTAAAAGACATACAGGGAAACACGTTTTATTATTGAAAATACTTCGCGCGAGTATAGTGACACTCGGAATATCCACGAAATATCTTCGATAATATTTATGATACTTATCAGCTCGGGAAACCCAGATTGAATTGGTATCGTTTCACCGATAAGCCGAGTGTATGAAATCAATCGGCGTGATAACGCGATTCTTTCGGAACTAATAATAGATAGACAATAAATCCGAGGCGATCGTTCTCCGCTTGATCGATCACGATGAGTGATTTTTCTCAATTAACCTGTCGGATGCGTGCAGATCGTTGGTGCCGTGCGCACCGATGCGCTTAAATACATTGAACGAAACAGTGGTGACGATTAAAGTGCTCCTGTTTCGCAAAAGGGTAAGTCAACAATATTCCCTCGTTCAACTGAACGGTGGTGATCAAGTGATAATTGCTGAACCGCGAGAGACAATTCGGAGATTTGTTAGTAACAGACAATGATTTAATTTTTAATTATTAATATTTTAATAATATTTTAATTATTAATGATGGATCAGAATAATAACGAGAAGGTAATTCATTAACAACAGATAAAACGAAATTTTCACCACAGGTATATCACACAACATTCACAAAACGTTCTCATAGATTCTCCTCGAATGCCGTCAAAATTCATAATGCGCGCGCAACGACACAAATTTATATATATATTTTTTTAATTTGTATTAATTGATATATGTCACAATGCCCGATAAATTCCGCCAACATTTTTAACAATTAGTTGATCGAAATCGTAGGGTTAATCAGTTGTCCCAAGGGCTTTTACATATTCGCGACAATTCTGCTTGATTAACGAATGAACGAGAATAAATCTTGCGCGTTAGGACATCGAAGGATAATGGCACTTTGCGTTTGCACAGGATCACTATGTGGAAGACAATACTGCTATGCGCGTTCTTGGGGCTGGCGGCCGCCGAGAAGGCTACCTTCTACAATTACAAGGTCTTCAGGCTCGTGCCGATCACGGAGGAGCATCTGGAAGTATTGCGCCACCTTGAAGAGTCCGTCGATGTGGTGAGTGCAAATACTGAGCAGCGATTTCAGTAAATCAACAATAAAATATTTTCTCGAGTGTACATGTGAAAGTTTCAATTTTTAACGTCGCGTTGTTACGAACAACCTCTCATACTTCTTCATATCGCCGAGTCGACTCTTCGGCTCGATGTTTCTAAAGCCTGAAGCCCTTTATTCTTTTCATGTCCAGAACATCGTGTGTTTCTGGACCTAAATCCAATTTCTGAGTCCTGAAATTTCCATGTTTTATTAATCTCGAGACATGCTTCTTCCTATATGAACCCCCTTCTAAATGTATGCGAAAGAAAAATGAAATGCAACGTCCCTTCGCAGTTCTCCTTCTGGAGATCGCCGAGCTACGTGAATGCACCCGCGGACCTGATGGTAGCTCCGCACAAACTACCTGAATTCTACGAGATGATGAAGAATTTCGATATACCCTATAACGTCCACATCGAGAACGTACAGGAGCTAATCGACAGGACAACGTCGACTCAAAGCCGAACGCTTTCCTTCGACTTCACCAGCTATCACACTCTCGACGAAATCTATGAGAACTTGGACGACTTGGCCAAGCAGTATCCCAACAAAGTGCAGACCATCATAGGTGGCAAAACATACGAGGGTAGGCAAATCAAGGGCGTGAAAGTGTCCTTCAAGCCGAATAATACCGCCGTGTTCATCGAGGGTGGCATTCACGCCAGAGAGTGGATCTCGCCGGCCACTGTCATGTATATACTGCACCAATTGCTGACCAGCAAAGACGTGGACGTCAGAAACATAGCCGAGAGCTACGACTGGTACATCTTCCCCTCGTTCAACCCGGACGGATATGTGTACACGCACACGACGGTGAGTGCGCGCTGTTCGATAATGTCGCAATCGTGTTTAAATCATCCAGCTTTTAGCTAAAGATTTCTAAATCCAGGAAAAAAGAATGTTGCTCGAGATAATCACTGGCGTCGTTGTCTCTTTGAGCACGTGTTATCGCATTCCATATATATATATAAGGTGTCTGAGATTTTTTGGAAATGAAAAATTGTGAAAATTAATCAGATCAAGCTGAAAAGAAAAGTCAAGTGTCATTTTGCAAAAACTCTCGGGCACCCTATATATATATATATATATATGTGTGTGTGTGTAAGCGAGGGCGTATAAAGTCAAAGCTGAAGGCGGGTTTCCGATGAACGGCGAGTAAAGGGAAAAGGAAAGAAAGAATTATAAGGATCGTAGATCGGGAAACGAAAAACAAATGGCTCTAGGATTAGATATATATTTATCACAAAGCGTAAACGTGGTTTTCTCAAACGTTCGAAAGCTTCTTTGCGTTTGAGAAAACGTTTGAGATGTGCGAACTATTCAAATTCAAATCTAAATCCCTATGATTCGAATTCAAATAATTCGAAAATTTCGAATCGCGAAGATCCGAATACGAATTAAATACATTAACGTTTGCGCGCATCAGCTATAAAACGAGCCATCTGTATATTTGAACTCTTAACTTGTAATTAACTTAACTTTTAATTTATAATTAATAACTTAATTATAAATTACTCTAAATATTTAAATATATGTCTTACTTTAAGATGATATTACAATATCAATATTTTCCTTTCATATTAAAATCTTCCATTAGTATTTGCATGTTTAATAGTCATGTTACATTTTTTAATGATTCGATTCGATTTCATTCGATTCGATTCGAATTCGAATTTAAAAAGTGAAATTCGATTCGATTTGATTCGACATAAAAATTCTTGATTCTCACATCTCTAATATATATATATATATATATATATATTTTTTTATATATATATATATAAGACCGAAAAATGTTTTCGTAATCTTGTAATCTCTATCACCTTTGATGTGTACTCTTCATGTTTAATAATAACGATCCGATTCGCGTAATCGGTAGATAGCTTATCGATTATTCTTGCGACAGTTCGAACGAAATAGATATTCACCGTCTTCGTTGGAAATTATTTACAAATTGTAGCACATGTGCATAAGTCGTATTTCTTGCAGAATCGAATATGGAGAAAGACCCGTAAGCCGTACGGCTTATTTTGTTACGGCGCTGATCCAAACAGGAACTGGGACTACAAGTGGATGAGTGAGTGGACTTGGAAGTCCTGTATATAAGCCATGAATGCAAATTCTTAATTGCTAATTAAACAACATTTTTGCTACTAGATATTACACATTCGACAAAATTCTCTCATAGCTTATCTTTGAATATCATTCAAAAATCACGGCGCACAGCGACGATATTTTGTTTTCATTTCTATTAACTAATTTTTATTAATACCTGACCTTTTATTAACATTACCTTGCTTTGATTTGATTTTCAGAGGGAGGCGCCAGTGACCTTCCTTGTATGGAGACATACGCTGGAAACAAGCCGTTCTCCGAGGTGGAGACAAAGAGCATGTCCGAGTTTATCAAACCCATTGCAGAAGCAAAAAAAATAGCCGTTTATCTTTCGTTCCACAGCTTCTCACAGCTACTAATGTTCCCTTACGGTCACACTAAGGACCATTTAGAAAACTATAAAGAACAGGTAAAGGTCCCCATAAATGGGTTACATTGTCAATGCATTCCTTTTCCGGAGTGCGATAAATTCGAAAAAAATATGTTCTTAAAACAGTAAAAAAAAGTAGCACGTCATGAAACTGGTTCGTATGACAAACGCTGCTTTCTCTGTTTCTTTTGCAAATTTATCAAACCATGTGATAAATCGTCCGACCTCTCGACGGTGGAAGTCGTTCCAAAACAATATATTTTTTTTGCCATATATCTTAATATATATCTTTTTTTAATTAAAAGAATATTACGTTAGTGAAAATATTTGCAAAGATTCTGAGATTAAACAACCAGTATAAAAGAAGGTTAATTAAAAATAGAGTTGTTAGACATTAGATGAGTTAGAATTTGAATCTAGTAGCAGGAATATTAAACGTGTTCTTATCCGATTTGAAAAGTCAACGACTTTTGATCGATGAAGCTGATTCGAGTGTGGTGTATTTTACAGTATTGGTGCTTAGTTATTGTCGCAATCTTTAACATGTTGCTAACAATTTCAGTACAATGTCGCCATGAAGGCAACGGAAGCCCTCACAAAGAGATATGGGACTAAATACAGAGTTGGAAATATTGCCGAAACGATTTGTAAGTATTCGTAATTTCTATCAATTTCTATCCAGATTTATTTGTCATATTTAACGTTCTTTTTGCATGATTTTATTCAGTCAAATTTAATTCTCTGCAATTTGTAATCGCTGCAATGAAGTGCTGAACCGTTACAAACATGATGTGAAACTTCTTTTCAGACGTAGCCACCGGAAGTACTATAGATTATATGAAGGGTATTCACAAGGTGCGTTATTCATACACCTACGAATTACGCGACCAAGGTAAACATGGCTTCCTGCTACCTCCTGAGCAAATTATTCCGACTGGGGAGGAGACCATGGACTCCGTCGTAGCCATGATGAAGGAGGTGATAGCGTGCCGTTTTGTCAACGAAGTTTAAGCCCCGCGATTAGTGAATAATACCACCAGGTAGCACGTTGCATGAGAAAGTGGCACCTTTAAAAAATGTGTGATTTTTAATTACTACAGCTTGTCTACAACTTAAGAAGGTTATACTTTGCATTGGAGAAACGACACGCTTGTATTTTCAACAATTACGACTGGATAATGAGAAAAATTAGGGGACAAAGTATCGTGCCAATCCGCAATCATTAATTTATAATTGACTTTATTCAGTTGTCATTATTTGTTTGATTGTTCTGCAACGAAGTATATTTCTCGAGTTGTATCGTTTATCCATGTGACGTGTGACGTATTCTCTTTTTTGATAAAATTTTAATTTTCTATTTGGTTTTGTAATTAGTAAATTTTAATATATCGATTTCTATATAACATTGCATACGTTCTTTCAAGATTCCTGTTTCCTCTGTGCGCTCGTCAACTTTTTTATATCCGTTCCTACAAAACAATTAACCTGGTATGGTTAAACAATTAATTTGGTAAACAGCGAATAATAAAAACGAAAACGACGGAAATGAATTTTTATCATGTATAATATTTTTACAAATTTAAACGTTGACATTATTTCTATATTAATAAAAATCTATATTGATTTCCATAAGGGATTGACATTTATTTAACTAAACAGCCCCAAAATCCTTATTAGCAATAAACAGCAGAGTATCGAAGCATTTACAACAGTTTACTAAAAAACATGTTTTTATCACATACCTGTTCGGAACCAGAATGCGCTGACAGTTCTATGACGAGTTCTGGTGACATCACTCCCGTCAAATTATTTCATCCTTTGATACCATTTCAACTTACATATATCTAAAGTGCACGGTGACGTTGGGGAAAAGGGCGAGTATATAAAGCCGAAAGATAGTTCCTCGGGATACACATTTCTAGAATACACCCTTCGAAGTTGGAATAAGGGACACTCGACATTTGAATCTGAATCATCATTCGAGTGAGTATCGTAGACTTAAACGTGTACACTGAGAAAAAGTTGTATTAAAATTAAACAAATCTTTGTTCGAATACGACTGTGAATACATTTATTTAAATTAAGCAATTATTTTCTAAAATTCAAGAAAAAAGTTTACATTCAGAGAGAGAGAGAGAGAGAGAGAGAGAGAGAGAGAGAGAGAGAACCTCTGTATTTCATTTTAGAAATTAGTCGCTTAATTTGAATAAATTTATTCACAGTCGTATTCGAACAAAGATTTGTTTAATTTTAATACAATTTTTTCTCAGTGTATGAACGATTCTCGTAAAAATTCACGAATTCCTCAGGAAATCGAATATCCAGATCCACGATCACGAAATTAAAAGCATTGGACGAAACGGCAATGATAATAATCATAGTGCTTTCATTTTACAAAAAGAAAAGTATAAGCCATAAATATTCGTTAAGCCAATTAACCCGCGATGATTGGACGAAAAAACAAGAACGAGGAATAATTCGAAGCTTAGCGCGAATTTCGGCGAATAATTGAGAGCACACGGTTAATCAATTACCACTTGGACCGGTTTAAATATTCACGATGTTGCGATTCTACGCGCCGGCAATAATTAACGAGAGGCGATCTCGCGTTCCAAGATCGGAAGATAACGCATTTTGCGTTTGCACAGATTTACCATGTGGAAGTTAATACCGCTGTGTACCCTCGTGGGTCTGGCGACCGCTTACAACATGTCTTTCAACAAATACGTGGTGCTCGAGCTTTTACCGTTGCAGCAGGAACAGTTGGAATACCTGCACAGTATCAAAAGCGACGGAGTAAGTAGTCACCCCGATAGCAAATATCGGAGTGCAAAAGATCATAGATGGTTATTGTCGGTATTATTAATATCGTGTAACATTCGCTTCAATATACAACTTTTATCCCAACGACATCGTTACGAACAACTACGGTACTCCGATCATTCTGAGCTCTGAAACCTAGATGTTTCTGTACTTGAAACGTCGCCTCAACAATGAAAGCTCCGTTCTCCTCAGCCGAATTTCTTTCTCACATGTGCGAAATAAATGTGGAGTGTGATACACGTTCCTTCACAGATCAACTTCTCCTTCTGGAAACCGCCGAGCAGCATAGATAATACTGCCCACCTTATGGTAGCCCCAGATTTATTGGACTATATTCTAAATAAGCTGCACAAATACGGCATACCTTACAAAACCTACATCGACAACGTGCAGGAGCTAATCGACAGGTCGACACCCAAGAACCTATCGCATTCCTTCGACTTCACCGGCTATCACACCCTTGCGGCGATCTATGAGAATCTGCACGATTTGGTCGAGCAGTATCCCGACAATGTGCAGACCATCATAGGCGGCCAGACACACGAGGGTTGGCGAATCAAAGGCGTGAAAGTATCCTACAAGCCGAACAACCCCGGCGTGTTCATTGAGGGTGGTATTCACGGCAGAGAGTGGATCTCGCCGGCCGCTGTCATGTACTTGCTGCACCAATTGCTGAACAGCACAAACGCGGATGTCAGGAACATGGCTGAGAACTATGACTGGTACATCTTCCCCTCGTTCAACCCGGACGGATATGTGTACACACAGACCACGGTGAGTGCGCGCTGTCTGATAATTTCGAGTTTGTGTTTAAATCATCCAGCTTTTAGCTGGAGGTTCCTAAGTCCAGGAAAAAAGAATGTACGAAATAATCATTAGCGTCGCGTCGTTGTCTCTTTGAGACAACACAGATTGTTATATTCCCTGATATCGAAACGTTTTAGGGTGGAACATAATCTGCAATTGTTGTCTCACTGTCATTTATATGTCATCAATGTGTCATTCGTATTGATAAAATTTTACTGGAGATTGCTACTTGTTTGTGATCAATGGACAACTCATCGGTTCTTTTCGCGAGAATCGAAATCAGTATTAGATAGTCTCTTTGGAAATCATTTATATAAGTGGCAGCTCTATTTATAAGTTATATAGCCTCCTCTCCTCCCCTAGTCAAGTGTGTAAATCGAATTATTTTATAGAATCGAATGTGGAAAAAGAATCGTCATGAGCATAAGTTATATGGTAGTTGCTTTAGCACCGACCTAAACAGGAACTGGGGTTACAAGTGGACCGGTGAGTATTTTGGTGTCCTATGTAATTTGTGAATGCGAATTATTAATTAACGTTAAGCGCTACGCTAATAGCGACACTAGATTTTTAGGTTAGGCTACGCTGGTCCCTGCGGACTGGCAGTGGACTTTTATCTCGGCAGCGTTGATCCTTAAAGACCAACAGCACCAAATTTAGAAGTTTTCTAAATTGATTGATGAACAAAAATGAGAAGATATTCATTCATTAAAGGATTTTATTGAAACAGTTTAAACAATAATACAGTTTTGTCATAATATTATAGTATTTGGTTGGTTGCCTTTTTTTCGATAGAACCATTCTAAATCTTGGAAGTCACCGCCATTATTGTTTACATCTATACTGTCTAACTATTATCTTCAGATGATCGCGATACTCGTCGACGTCGATTTTTAAATGGCAAAAATAACTTTTCCAAAGCGGTCACTTCAAGTTTTATGGACAACAAATACTTTATAAAATAATCAATAGATCAACATGCTTTATAGAAAGTAAATTTATTGTGGCTTTTGTCTAACCCAATACTGGGGGATAAAACGCGCACGACAGCTTTGTTTTCAGGAGCGTTTGCATATGAAAAATATGCTTGGATCATACTTTCCGTCAAACCGTCATTAGAATTTTGACAATAGATTTTCCCACCACCCGTGAGATACTATCGTTGATGCGTTTTTTTTTTAAGTTGTTTCCCCAGTAGGCTTATTCCACTAAAAATTGATAAAAATGAAACATATGACTCTATTCTCATGACGGTTTGGCGGAAAGTACGATCCCAGCATATTTTTCATATGCAAACGTTCCTGAAAACAAAGTTATCGCGCGCGTTTCGGCTTATCTCTTGTTTATATCTTGTATGTTCACGCGCCGCGTGAACGAAAAGTCGACAAAATCGGCGTAGCACTTAACGTGTTAATTGATAATTTTCACTAAAGATGTCACACACGTGCGACATGCTCGACTAAATTTTCCATGTGTTTTCTTCGAATCGTTAAAAATCGCCCAAAAAATGGCGACGCCAAGATATCTCGACGTGCGCAGTGACAGTTTTATGTTTCAGTTTTTATTTACGTATGTTCGGTTTTTATCGATGTCCGACATTTTTTAATATTATTACACCTTCATTTGACTCTCAGGTAGTGAGAAAAACCTATGTACCGAATCATACAGTGGAGAAAATGCGTTTTCCGAATTGGAGACGAGTACCATGTCCGATTACATCAAACATATCAAAGACAAATTCTTCGCATACTTCTCGTTCACCACCTATTCACGGTTTCTGCTATTACCTTATGGCTACACTCATAATCATATGAATTTAGAAAGTGATCAGGTAAGGAATCCCGAAAATAGGCTACGTGGTTGATGCATTTTTCTTCAGAATTTGTATCAGGTTGAAAGAAAATATTGTATATTCTTCAATATAACAGAACAATCATCGTAAGATTAATTGTGCAGATTAATATCGTGTCATCTATCGTGATATATATACGAAATATTTTCATTTAACGACTGGGCAGCTCTCTTTTATTTACTTATAACCGCTAATTAATAAATCATCCGATATTTTGAAAGTTCAAAACGATGCACACTGTCTGTCTGTTTTTTTATTGTATATCTTTTGAACGAAGAATATTCCGATAATGAATTAAATGAATTTCAATGTATCATATCTCACCTCGTTGGCGCGAATTAGTCACTGTTCATTTCAGTCAGTGTCGCAATGCTTAATAATCCGTTAATAATTTCAGTATGACATCATCTTTGACGCAATCAAAGTCCTCATACACAAACACAACACTTTCTATTGGATCTCAACTATTGCCGATGCGTACAGTAAGTATTCAAAAAATTCTCTTTATTTCAGAAATACTTGTCAACACTTTCTCGTATCTTTCTTAGCCAATAGCATCGTAGGCTGTTTTACTGTCGCGTTCTCTACGGTCGTTCAAACATCGAATCACACTCTTCTAAGCACTGAGAAAAATTGTATTAAAATTGTATTAAAATTAAACAAATATTTGTTCGAATACGACTGTGAATACATTTATTTAAATTAAGCAATCATTTTCTAAAATTCAAGAAGAAAGTTTATATTCAGAGAACCTCTGTATTTCATTTTAGAAATTAGTCGCTTAATTTGAATAAATGTATTCACAGTAATATTCAAACAAATATTTGTTTAATTTTAATACAATTTTTCCTCAGTGTGCTGTATCTCGACTATGTATAGCCCAGCTTTTAACCGCGAAGAGTGGAGTGAAATATTGAATACTTTGACAAGGTGAATCTATTTCTAGATATAACCACTGGAAGTACTTTGGATTATATCAAGGGCACGTATCAGAAGCCACTTGTCTTAGGCTACCAAATAGACGATAGTGGCAAATATGGTTTCTTGCATCCGCCCGAAGAAATTATTCCTATTGGAGAAAAGATCGTTGATTTTCTAGTGGCAGTTCTAAGCAAGACGAAGGAACTTGGTATTCACAGACAATAAAACTCTCGATCAGTAACTAATATCACTGATATATGTAGCACGTCGTACGAAAGAATGGCACACCTCGAAAATGTATAGTTTCGAGCTAATATGAACTTGGCGGACTTCCTTGTTGACTGACGCGATAATGACCGATCGCTTTTTATCAAATGTTGTAAGAATTCAGTAAATCACTATTAGTTAAGACAAAAATTAAAATCTTTATTGTGACAAAACAATCATGTTTATAATTTAGAAAAAGTGGGAGAAGAAAAAAAGTTCTAGACAACAATCATCAATGGAAAAACCATTAAATAATATTGGTAATAAAATTACACCCAATAGATGAGCATTAGGCGAAACATTAGACGAATATTTTAGAAATGTTTCTGACCCATTTTTTTATATTATTTTATAAATAATATTTTATAAATATTTTATAAAAATATTATTGCGAGATACTTTTTGTGGTAAAATTATCTTATGAATAGACTTCATCAATTTGAAGATAAAATAGAAAGTAATTTTTATAAGAGATATAAAGAAATTGTTTATATGACGATTAAAAACATAAAAAAATATAACAATACTATTATTAGCGCAACGTCTCAAAATGTCACATAAACTGTGTCAGTAAAATAAAAGAATTGTCAAAATAAATAAGTGTACTTACTATTAACATTCACCTTCCTCGAGTATCGCGATGTGATTAAAAATGAAGTCGTTGATTATGCAAAGACTGCCAACGTAAGATTCGCTGATTGATAAAACTACGTGATCGATAATGCGACTGCAGGATATCAAATAACTACAGAAAAACAGATTATTCGCAAACATACAATATATACACGATAGTGTCCAAAAATGTCGCTACATTTTATTCCAAGCTGAAATGAAATTCGAATATTCGGAATCGTTACCAGAATATTTCACATAGAAATATTTGAAACCCTTACAGAAATTTATTACAGGCTGTGATAAATATTCATACGAGTAATTTTATTATTCATGAGAGTAATCATTAGCCAATTTATTATAGCCAATAGTAAATTTTGTTAGAGAAGTAGATCGGTGTTCATCGGCAACAAGTCCGACGATTCTCAGTGCGTTTTTGTAAATAAAACATAATAATTTTTACAAATATCGGCCTTTCCTTCGTGCCCTCAACCATTTTTGCATCTTCCGACTCACATAAAAAACTCTGGGAAACACACATTATAATATTATCAAGAGACACAGTAGTGCCTCGCGCCAATATGTGACGTTAATATATGATATTAATATTAATATTAATATTGATATTTAAATATTTAATATTTAATTATAGTTATAAGTTTTACTTGTAAAAACTTATGTTACGTACATATATATTTTGAAAAAAAAAAAAATTTGAGTTTGATATACATGAATATTGAAAAAAATAATTTGAGTTTGGGAATTTTAAAAAGAACATGCATTTAAAAGAATGCATGTTGCACGTGTACTTGGTGACTTTTTTTATATGATTATACGACGTCTTTCAATACATATCATGGGTTCAGTGGCAATTTTTAGAAAACGTTATAAAACATGACAAATAATAAATCTAACTTCAACTTGTTATTACGGTTTTATTAGATATATAAATAAACAGAAGAGAAATAAAATAAGACGAAAACAAGGACGACGACGAATCGTCATTTCGAGGTTTATGTTAAGGTTAGTGATAAGTATATATGAATATTTATTTATTTAAATATTTGCAGTTAGGAGCAACATTATATTACACATAATTATACGACGTTTTCAGTACATGTCATGGATTCAGTGGTAATTTCACGTTAAAAAACATGACCGATTTTGCAATTATGTGTATTGCTTTCGTCGTAATTGTTACATCACACTCTACGTCTAAATAGACATACAAACTTCTCTTCTAAATAAAATATCACTTTCGGAAAGCGTGTAAACATACGCCGTTTGGCGGTTCGCACAATTTTTCAGATACTTCTGACGATTTAACGGAAAAATTGCAAGATGAATTTTCAACTATGGTGAAATGAAATCAAAATATTTTCTAACAATTTTATCTGGTTTTAAACAAAACATAAAATAAGATAGTTATATTTACAGACGAAATTATAATTTTTATTTTTCGAGCAATATGACATCTGTATATATGCAGAATTATTACATACATTCGGTATGGTACTTATAGCATGGCATTGATGATGAGCATGTGCTTTTCCTTTATTAGAGATCGAGCAAGTAAAATATATAAAAGTATATAAAATTATAGTATATAAAATTAAGATCCAACAATGTATTTATTGGAGTTATATTTACTAAAGATATATTAAAGTGTATTCTTTTTTTAGAAATTGTAGAAATCTCGTTGCCGAAACTACTTATCATCTAATTAAATCCATGAAATTCAGATAAAAGTCAAATCAATTTGTTTTCTCATACCGATCAATTGCGAAAACCAATTTCGTGATATCCTCATCATTACGAGTGTCATTGGTCCTTAGTCCTTAATTTCCTACTTCTTCATACTTTCTATGATCCAATCTACGAAAGAAATTACTCGTGCAAATATATCAGGATGACCTAGGTATCCGCATGATACATCGAAGGAGGCGATTCCGAATTGAGTGTTATTGGCCACCAAAGATGTACCAGAATCACCCTAAAACCAAAGTACGGTTACCAATAAGAAGACAAAAATAAGAATTACATTCGATTAGTCTCGCGTCGAGAGTGAATGCTTGTTTGTATGTTATCAAATGGTTATAATTCCTAATTGTCCTTTTGCCTGCGTTACTATAAAAAAATATTCTTATTTGCGCAACAAAACAAACACTTTATTAAAGAACATTTTATTCAATATTTTATATATTGATTCAATGATGTTTGATGTACTTTTAGTAATATTGTAGTAAAATTGATAATATATATAAATTAAATAATAAAAGTAATAATAATAATAATATAAATTGATAATATAATGTTTCTCCTAACTGCAAATATCTAAATAAATAAATATTCATATACACATATCATCAACCATAAAGCTCAATATAACGATTCATCGTGATCCTTGTTTTCGTCTTATCTTATTTCTGTTCTGTTTATTTATAAGTCTAATAAAAGCTTAATAATAAGTTGCATTGAGGTTAGATTTATTATTTGAAGTGTGTTCAACGTGCAGGAAAATATATTGTGTCAGCCACGTTTGTGAAACGAAAATCATAACATGATACACACAGAGGAGTACATGTTATAAGCAGTTATAAGCAATAATATACGAGCTGCGATAAGTAATAGTATAAGAACGTGCTTCAGTACGTGGTTCAGTACGTTCCATTGTTTCACGACGTGACTGCTACTAAGTTTGTACGTATATCTCGCTATGTTTAAAACTTCTTTCAATATTAATATTTCTCTCATATCTCTTTGTTCATTGGCCTCATGCTTAACCATTATTTTGATTACGCCATTGTGAATAAACATCTTTTGATCTTTTGCATCATCTTCGTGGAAAAGTCATGTAATACAGAAAAATATAAAACTTACCTTTTTAAACAAAACGGTAAAGAAAAATGATGCTAAGTACACGCGCAACACATATTGTGTTAATTTTAGAAATCCCAAACTCAAATTATTTTTTTCAAGATTCACGTATACCAAATTCAAATTATTTTTTTTTCAAGATATACCGCGCCAAGACTTTTTGCATTAAATATTTTTTTATTGCATTGTACAACTAATTTGTTATAATAACAAGTAAAATAACCATATGACTCAGTGTTCCAGTAAATAATGAAGACATTGTTTCCGAAGTACCGGGCTGTGTGTCATTGAGTGTTTTGGATCAAGCACCGCGGTCGCGGCGCGACGCCGAGTACATATGAAACAAAAGCGACCGTGGTAGCTTTTCCGGAATTTCAGGATCGATTGGTTTTCCGAGTCAAATATCTCAAGCATGGAAATTATAATAAAAAATCTGACGACATTTTTCTTATACAATGTCTACCTCGCGCGTAATTTGCAACAAGCCCGATCGAGATTTGTGCAGGAAGTACAGAGATCTCGAAATCTCACCTGCAAAAAGGTCCTTTTTTTTCGCTAATAACTTCAGATTCAGATCTCACATATACGTACACAAGCAAAGCGAGTTTGTCCATCAAGCTGCGTTTGCATTGCCACGCGATGTCAGCTGTAGATTACACGTATACGCACGGACCATATATCATTATCCATATATCTCTGCGTTCGCTTTAGACGCTTACGCATTACTTATGTAAGCGTCATTCTATTCTTTATTGCTCATTATATGCGGAAGGAAGTTTCTTGAAGGACCGATTGATCTAGAATCAAATCACGTTTCTTTCAGTCAAATTTTCTCTCGCGGAACCGATTATTTTCATTTTAGGTAATAGTTAAATATAATTTAGGCACGGATATATATAAAATCATTAGTGCAATTTTCCACAATGGTGAAAGCATAACTGATGAACATTATACAAACGTTGTGCGTGTTAAGTGCACAGAAGGGATTTTAATTAATAATTCCAAAATAAAAAATATAGCTGGTCTCGAAATTCCAAAAATGCATACATTTTCTTTGTTGAAAAAGAATAATATAATAAGATTTGTACATAAATAATTTACACAAAAAGCAGTGAAATCATAACAAAAAGTCTTTACAAAAAAAAAACGCCGAGTGCATATGAAAAGAAGTACCAAACCAAAAAATATCAAAAAGGATATTAATGACTTTAAATTTTGGGATGTATGCATTTGCAGGTTGGGATCATCGCAGTCATTCACTCGTTCCTGCACATGCTCCAACAAAAAGTATCAAAATAAATAATATATGTGGATTTAAAAAAACGCAAATGTTTCATTCATTTTGTTAAAAAAAATGCGATCGATATAATTAACCAATATAATTAACCAAGTACATAATTAACAAGTACATAATTTTGTTTATTACCAAAGTCTCGCCAACGTTTCTGAACGATATGTGCTACATAATATGTGTTTATGAAGTATACCGTAATTTATTATATATTTATTAAACGGTGAAATATCCAAATAAGATACTGAGGAAAAACTTAACATCGAGATCAAAAACTCGGCGTGCCCTGAGTGTTGAAATGTATACACATGTATATATACCAAAACTAAACATGAGCTCACATCTTTGTGCAATGCACATGAAAATATAAAAGAACATTTAAAATAACCTGCACCTTATACATATAACATATCAAAAATTTTTTTTTAATCTCTGTCACCTCTAATGTGTATCTTTTGTACTTAATAATACCGATCCAACTCGCGTGATCAATAGATAGCTTATCGATTATTCTCACGACAGTTCGGACGAAGTTGATATTTACCATCTTTGTTGAAAATTATTTACAAATCATAGCACATATACATGAATCGCATTTCTTGCAATCGATTCTGAAAAAACACCCGTAAGTCGTACGGTTTTTGTGTCGGTGCTGACCCAAACAGAAACTGGGACTACAAGTGAATGCGTGAGTACTTGGAAGTCCCGTATAAACTTATAAATGCGAATTATTAATTGCTAGTTTAACAACGTTTTCGCTATAGATATTACATATTCGATAAAATGCTCTCGTAGCTTATTTGAATATCATCCAAAAATCGCGACGCACGGCGATGATTTTATGTTTCAATTTCTATCAATTAATTTTTATCAACATTAGACGTTTGTTAACATTACCGTGCCTTAATTTGATTTTCAGAGCGAGGGGCCAGTGGCCTTCCTTATATGGAGACATACGCTGGAAGCGAGCCGTTCTCCGAGGTGGAGACAAAGAGCATGTCCATGTTTATCAAATCCATTTGGGATAAAATATACGTTTATCTTTCGTTCAGCTACTAATGTTCCTTTATGGTTACACCAAGGAACATGTGGAAAACTATGAAGAACTGATAAGCTTTCCATAAATGGGCCACATGCATTCCTTTTTCAGGATGCGACAAATTCGAAAGAAATACGTTTTTAAAACAGTAAGAAAGTATCACGTCATGAAACTAATGAGTATGGCAAACGCTACTTTCTCTGTTTTCTTTGCAAATTTATCAAACCGTATAAATCATCTAACCTTTCGATAGAGAAGTCGTTCCAAAACAATGTACTTCTTTTACATATATTAACGTTTAATTAAAACGTTAAAATACATTAACGTTTGCGCGCATCAGCTACAAAACGAGCCATCTGTATATTTGAACCCTTAACTTGTAATTAACTTAACTTATAATTAATAACTTAATTATAAATTACTCTAAATATTTAAATATATGTCTTACTTTAAGATGATATTACAATATCAATATTTCCTTTTATATTAAAATCTTCCATCATTATTTGCATGTTTAATAGTCATGTTACATTTTTTAATGACTCGATTCGATTTCATTCGATTCGATTCGAATTCGAATGAAATTTCATAGATTCGATTCAATTCGAATTCGAATTTAAAAAGTGAGTTTCGATTCGATTTGATTCGACATAAGAATTCTTGATTCGCACATCTCTAATATATATATATACAGGGTGTCCCATTTTAATCTGGCCGGCTGAATAAAATTCGACGATATTTTCCAGAAAAAAATGTCAGACAAATGTTGTTCAGTTCTAAGAGGGACTCTTCTCGAGTTGTATCGTTTATCCATGTGACGTATGATGTACTCCCTTTTTTTTATAAAATTTTCTATTTGGTTTTGTAATTAATAAATTTTAATATATCGATTTCCATATAACACTGCGTACGTTCTTTCAAGATTCCTGTCTCCTCTGTGCGCTCGTCAACTGTTTTATATCCGTTTCTACAATTAACTTGATTAAACAATTAATTTGATAAACAGCGAACAATGAAAACGAAAATGACAGAAATGAATTTTTATCATGTATAACATTTTTACAAATTTAAATGTTATACATTGAGACTATGTCTATATTAATAAAAATCTATATTGATTTTCATAAGGAATTGATATTTATTTAACTAAATAGTCCCAAAATCTTTACTAGCAATAAACAGCAAAGTATCAATGCATTTATAGCAGTTTACTAAAAAAATGTTTTTATCATACATTTTACGGTTGGAAGCAGAATGCGTTGACGGTTTCATGACGAGTTTTGGTGACGTCACTCTAGTCACATTATTACTCTCTGATACCTTTTCAACTTACATGTATCTAAAGTGCATGATAACGTTGGGGAAAAAAGCGAGTATATAAAGCTGAAAGGTTGTTCCTCGAGGTACACATTTCTAGAAATACACCCTTCGAAGTCGGAACAAGAGACACTTGACATCTGAATCGTCATTCGGGTGAGTATCGTATAGATTTAAGCGCGTATGGACGATTCTCATTGTAAAAATTCACGAATCTATTTTCAAGAAATCGAATATTCAGATTCACGACACGAAATTAAAAGCATTAAATGAAACGGCGATGGTAATTCGAGTGCTTTCGTTTTGCAAAAGGGAAGGTATAAGCTAGAAATATTTTATAAGACAATTAACTTGCGATGATTGAACGAAAAAGCGAAAACGAGAAATAATTCGAAGATTAGCACCGATAGCGCTAATTTCGGCGAATAATCGAGAGCACACGGTTAATCAATTGCCATCTTGGACCTTGGTTTAAATATTCACGATAAATGCGATTCTACGCGTCGGCAATAATTAACAAGAAGTGACTTCGCGTGCCAAGATCGAAGGCTAACACATTTTGCGTTTGCACAGATTCATCATGTGGAAGTTAATACCGCTGTGTACCCTCGTGGGTCTGGCGACCGCTTACAACATATCTTTCAACAAATACGTGGTCCTCGAGCTTTTACCGAACCGGCCCGAGCAGTTGCAATACCTGTATGATTTCACATGTGACGGAGTGAGTGGTCACCTCGATAGCAAATATCCCGGAGAGCAAACGATCATAGATAGTTATTGTCGGTATATTTAATATTGGTAAAACTTCTGTTTAGGGGAGACAGCTGCAATGACATTGACTTTGACATATGTTGTCAAGGACATTATTTTAAGTAATATGCAGGAGGTTTTAGCCATCGTTCGTTGTTTATTAAAAAGTAATTAATAAAAGAAGTTTCACTAATAAAACGTCATTTTTCGACACTGTGTACATTTAGCACTTAAAACTTGCAGGAGGTTACTTTGAAACACAATATATATAAGCGGGGGAGGAGCTCCGCCCCTCCCAATCTAAGAAAATCCTAATTTAACCTAACTTATTGCATCTTTATACAGGGTATCTGTAAAGTCCGACACCACCCCTGGATTTCGGGAACGGCTTTAAATATGGAAAAATGTTTCAGACAAAAATTGTAGGATATTGAGAGGGACACATGATAAAAATATATACTTGACCTTGAGTGACTTTATCAAGTCCTTTATCAAGACTTTATCAAGGCCAGGTCAATGTAATCGACGTTTTCTTAAATGGTACCTCCTACTTTTTATTGCATATTCTTGTAGCTCTTGTAGAGGTGTTTTCAAAATACTACCTATTTTTGTTTTTCGCGCAAGTCATTCTCGAGATATGAAGCTTCAAAGTTGACATACCGCCGGCATTCGCATTACCCAAAGTGTACCGCGTGGAGGTTACACGGTCGGATTTACGCCTCTTGTGTGTGCGTGTGTGTGTGTGTGTATGTGTGTGTGTGTGTCACAGTAGAAATAAGGACCCTACGGTTCGTCACTTCCGTAGTATTTTTTGACTTCAAACCCTCTCCACTGTGTGTGTGCGTGTATTGTGGCCCTAAAAAGGACCAATTTTGTATGTATGTGTTTTCTTCAGTCAAAATTCCCCCCCATCTTTCTCTCTCACAGTGTCTCTCTCCACCATTCTTCTTCTCTTTCCCCTTACATTAGTTATTTTCTTGCCGTTACACACACACACACACACGCACACACAAGAGGCGTAAATCCAACCGTGTAACCTCCACTTGAGTATACTTTGGGTAATGCGAATGCCGGCGGTATGTCAACTTTGAAGCTTCATATCTTGGGAATGGCTTGCGCAAAAAACAAAAATAGGTAGTGTTTTGAAAATGTCTCGACAAGGGCTACAAGAATATGTAATAAAAAGTAGGAGGTTCCATTTAAGAAAACATCGATTACATTGACCTGGCCTTGATAAAGTCAATGTCACTCAAGGTCAAGTCCACATTTTTATCATGTGTCCCACTCAATATCCTACAACTTTTGTCTGAAACATTTTTCCATATTTAAAGCTGTTTCCGAGATCTAGGGGTGGAGTCGGACTTTACAGATACTCTGTATATTATTGGATTTTATATATTATTTGAAAAGATTTAAAACTCGCGCCAAACAATATATAAAGATGCAATAAGTTAGATTAAGTTAAGTTAAATTAGGATTTTCTTGGAGAGGGGGTGAGGGGAGCTCCTCCCTTGTTTGTATGTACTATTTAGTATTTTTTAATATACATTTGAGATTTAATATATGCTCGAAATGTATTATACTGAATATACGAGAAGTTGCATTTCATTTTTTTCCTCTTTTGATCACGGCTAATTTTATAATAGTTATTTATGCAATGAAATATAAGCGAATCACATGGTTATATAAATATTCTAATAGTTGATCTTAATTGTACGTTAAATGCAGAAACTCGAGAAGTAACATTTTAACCATTTCAAAGTTCGAGATGTACTGAAGTTAAAATGTACACAAGAAACATTGTGTACATTTTTGTTTATAAACAGTACCTGTCTCTAAGAATGCGAAGCCTCTTCCTTATTCACATATGTGTAAAGTTTACCGTATGTAAATACACAGTATTGAAAAATTCCGCTCGATTAATGAAACTTCTTTTATTAATAACTTTTTAAGAAAAAATGAGTGACGGTTAAAATCTTTTGCATATTATTCAGAATAATGTCCTTGACAACATATGTCAAGGTGAGTATCATTGTAGCTCCCTCCCCTAAACAGGAGTTTTACCTTAATATTGTATAACATACATATTCAATTTTTAATGTCGTAACGATGTCGTTACGGACAACTCCGATCATTCTGAGCTCTGAAACCTCGATGTTTCTATATTCGAAACGTCGCATCAACAATGAAAACTTCTCCTCAGCCGAATCTCTTTTCACATGTGCGAAATAAATGTGGAATGTGACGTCCCTTCACAGATCAAACTCTCCTATTGGAAACCGCCGAGCAAGATAGGTAGCCCTATCCACCTTATGGTAGACCCAGAAATACTGCACCTCGTTATAAATAGACTAGACAAATACGGCATATCTTACAAAACTTACATCGATAACGTGCAGGAGCTAATCGATAGGTCGACACCTAAGAACTTATCGTATTCCTTCGACTTCACCAGCTACCACACCCTTGTGGCGATTTATAAGAATCTGGATGACTTGGCGAAGCAGAATCCCGACAAAGTGCAGGCCATCATAGGCGGCCAGACACACGAGGGTTGGCGAATCAAGGGCGTGAAAGTGTCCTACAAGCCGAACAACCCCGGCGTGTTCATCGAGGGTGGTATTTACGGCAGAGAGTGGATCTCGCCGGCCGCTGTCATGTACTTGCTGCACCAATTGCTGAACAGCACAAACGCGGATGTCAGGAACATGGCTGAGAACTATGACTGGTACATCTTCCCCTCGTTCAATCCGGACGGATATGAGTACACACAGACCACGGTGAGTGCGCGCTGTTCGATAATTTCGCATTCGTGTTTAAATCGTCCAATTTTTAACTGGAGCTTCCTAAGTCCAGGAAAAAGAATGTACGAAATAATTACTAGCATTGCGTCGTTGTCTCTTTGAGACAACACAGATTGTTACATTCCCTGATATCGAAACGTTTTAGAGTGGAACATAATCTGCAATTGTCTCACTGTCGTTTATATGTCATCAATGTGTCATTCGTATTGATAAAATTTTACTGGAGATTGCTACTTGTTTGTGATCAATGGACAACTCATCGGTTCTTTTCACGAGAGTCGAAATCAGTATTAGCGATAGTCTCTTTGGAAATCATTTATAAGTGGCAGCTCTATTTATAAGTTATATAGCCTCCTCTCCTCCCTTAGTTAAGTGTATAAATCGAATTTTTTTATAGAATCGAATATGGAAAAAGAATCGTCATGAGCGTACGATATATGGTAGGTGCCATAGCATCGACCTGAACGGCAACTGGGGTTACAAGTGGGCCAGTGAGTACCTTGATGTTCTATGTAAACTGTGAATGCGAATTATTAACACGTTAAGCGCTACTAGCGGAACTAGACTTTTCATTTAGGTTACCCCAGTCCCTGCGGTCTGGCACTGGACTTTTCATCTCAGCAGCGTTGGTCCTTAAGGACCAACAGCACCAAATTTAGAAAACAATACCTTCTCATTCATTAAAGGATTTTATTGAAACAGTTTAAATTAATACAGTTTTGTCATAGTATTATAATATTTGGTTGGTTGCCTTTTTTGGATCGAACCATTCTAAATCTTGATAATCACCGACATTATTGTTTATATCTATACTGTCTAACTATTATCTTCAGATAATCGCCATATACTCGACGATGTTGATTTTTAAATGGCAAAAATAACTTTTCCGAAGCGGTCACTTCAAGTTTTATGGACAACAAATACTTTATAAAATAATCGATAAATCAACATGCTTTATAGAATGTAAATTTATTGTGGCTTTTGCCCAACTTAGTGCTCAGGGAATAAGTCGCGCGCGACAGCTTTGTTTTCAGGAGCGTTTGCATATGAAAAATGCGCTGGGATCATATTTTCTGCTAAACCGTCATTAGAATGTTGACAATAGATTTCCATATTATTCGTGAAATCCTATTGTTAATGCGTTTTTTTTTAAGTTGTTTCCCCAGTAGGCTTATTCTACTCAAAATTTATAAAAATAACATATGACTCTATTCTAATGACGATTCGACGGAAAATACAATCCCAGCATATTTTTCATGTGCAAACGTTCCTGAAAATAAAGTTGTCGCGCGTGATCGACTTATTTCTTGTTTATACCTTGTACGCTCACGCGCCGCATGAACGAAAAGTTGACAAAATCGGCGTAGAGCTTAACATGTTAATTGATAATTTTCACTAAAGATGTTATACACGTGCGACATGCTCGACTAAATTTTTCGTGCATTTTCTTCGAATCGTTAAAAATCGTGCAAAAATGACGATGCTAAGAAATCGTGACGTGCGCAATAACAGTTTTATGTTCCAATTTTTATTCATTGGTTTTTATCGATGTCCGACATTTCTTAACATTATTGTACCTTAATTTGACTGTCAGATAATGGGAAAGACCCATGTGCTGATTCATATAATGGAAGAAAGGCGTTTTCCGAATTAGAGACGAGTACCATGTCCAATTACATCAGAGAGATCAAAGACAAATTTTTCGCATACTTCTCGTTCACCACCTATTCACCTATTCTGCTGTTACCTTACGGCTACACTCATGATTATATGAATTTAACAAATGGTCAGGTGAGGAATTCCAAAAATAAGCTACGTGGTCGATGTATTTTCCTTCAGAATTTGCATGAGGTTCAGACAAAACATATTCTTCAGTATATAGAGCAATCATCGTAATGCAGATTATCGTGTCATGCATCGTGATGCATATGCGGAGTGTTTAACGATTGTACTCCCTTTTACATACTTATGTCATACTTATGTAATTTAAGTTAATGAGTCATCCAACATTTTGACAAGTCAAAACAACGCATATTGTCACGTTTCTTTTGTATATCTTTCTTGGATGAAGAATGTTCCGACAACGAATTACATGGATTTCAATGTATCATATCTTACCTCGTTAGCGCGATTAGTTCATTTCAGTCAGTGTCGCAATGCTCAATAATATGTTAATAATTTCAGTATGACATCATCTTTGATGGAATCAAAGTCCTCATACAGAAACATAACATTTCCTATTCGGCCTCAAGTATTGCCGATGTGTACAGTAAGTATTCGAAAAATGTCTTTTATTAGAGATGTGCGAACTATTCGAATTCGAATCGAATTGAATCGAATCTAATGTAGTTTGATTCAATTCGAATCCGAATCCCTATGATTCGAATCCGAATAATTCGAAAATTTCGAATTGCGAAGTACGATTCGAGTACGAATCAAAATACATTAGCGTTTACGCGCATCAGCTACAAAACGGGCTATATGGGCCTGTGTATGCTTGAATCCTTAACTTGTAATTAACTTAACTTATAATTAATAACTTAATTATAAATTACTTTAAGTATTTAAAGTATATATTTTATTTTAAGATGATATTACTATATCAATATTCCCTTTCGTATTAAAATCTTCCATCATTATTTGCAATTTAATAGTCATATTAAATTTTTTAATGATTCGATTCGATTTCATTCGATTCGATTCGAATTCGAATGAAATTTCATAAATTCGATTTGATTCGATATGAAATTCTTGATTCGCACATCTCTTTTCTATTTTCATCTATTTTCAAACATACTTATTCAACACTTTTTCATATTTTTCTTAGCCATTAGCGTCGCAAGCCGTTTTATTGTCGCATTTGATTCTCTACGGTCGTTCAAACGTTGAATCATATTCTTGTATGCTGTACCTCGACTATGTGCAGCTCAGCCTTTAACCGCGAAGAGTGGAGTGAAATATTGAACACTTTAACAAAGTGAAATCTGTTTCTAGACATAACCACTGGAAGCACCTTGGATTACATCATGGGCACGTACCAGAAACCGCTTGTCTTAGGCTACCAAATAGACGATAGTGGCAAATATGGTTTCTTGCATCCACCCGAAGAAATTGTTCCTACTGGGGAAAAGATCGTTGACTTTCTAATGGCTGTTCTAAGCAAGGCGAAGGAACTTAATATTCCCTAATAATAAAACTCTCGACACTAATTAATATCACTGCAATATGTCGCACGTCGTATGGAAAAATGACACAGCTGGAAAATGTGTAATTTTGAGCTAATACGTTAAAAATATGCATAAAATTACATTTTGCAACGGGAGAGTAACACGCTTCATGTTTTCGATAATTACCGCTGAAAGATGGAAAAGGAGAATTAGGAAATAAAGTATCGTGTATATTCTAATCCACAACTAATGCCCATAATCAGTTTTATTGAGATCTTCTTTTCTTCCGCAGTGGTGAAAAATTACGTTTTTTGGATTATATATTTTGCCGACACTTATCTGGTATGAACAAAGAAGAATTTAAAAGAATTTTAAAGGCAATCCAACAAAGACAACAAGAAATGAAATTTTAATATGTGTAACATTTTGACAAAGAACCCCGCACGTTTCTTGTGACTCAAGAAGTGACTCAAATCAAATTACTCACTCATCACTCGAAAACGCGATTTCCTGCACATTGTCAAATTGAAAAACTGTTGCTGGAAATTTAGGAAAAAAGAGAACTCACTGCATGCTTATTCTGGTAAAAAGAAGAAGCTTTATAAAGCGTTGACAATCGTTCAATGAGAGTTTTTTGAGAGTTTCTATGCTTTTAAACTTTATAAGAAAGTTATATTTCAAACGCTTTCGAAACGCTTCGATCAAACGCTGTATATAACGTTTCGTCAAAGTTTTGCTGAGAAAAACACCTTCAAACGCTGCAGCATTGCAAATTCCACTATTAACAACTTCTCTATTAACATAATACTATTAACATAGTACAAATTCTCTATTAACTGTTTTTAAACTCCTAACGACTCCTACAAATGCTCATATAGACGCTAAACAAACGCTCATGAAACTTTTTATTTTTGCTGGGATATTTATCATCAATATATAGAATTAATTTTTACGTGTTGCTTAACTCTTAAAAGTGCAAAAAGACAATTATAGAAGTGCGGATATTTTTAGTTTTTGCTACTCTATAATGCATGAAATGCAGAAAATTATCGAGAATAATTTCCACCTTTTCTTTTGTCCGTATTAATGTCTAAATATTAAAACTAAGAAAATAGAATACACACATATGTAATTATATAAATAAAATCATGATTCCTTCAATTATAAAACAATAATCTGTCACATTTGTCCCCTTTCTAATCGTATAAATATCTGTAATTTTAATGACATGAACAAGATTCATGTTCTCAATACATTTTACTCAATCGCTAATTTCTTAGCCAATGCTCTTAATTCCTTTTTCGCAATTTTCCCAGATCCTGTATAAGGAAAACTATCCAAGAACACCACTCCGGCACGAAGTTTAAAATGGTCCATCATATTATTCGCCACATAGTCGATCAGTTCTTGCTCTGTTACCTGCAGGAGAGACGCAATTTGATTACTGTATGCCGCACCACGGTCTGTCTTATATAAAGTAATCAAAGTAACAAAGTTGAACAATCATATTATAATAATATATCATTCAACTTGTCTTAAAAAGGGCCATCATATTTTAAAAAGTAAAAAAAATAAAAAGAAATATCAAATTCACCATTAAAAAAATAAAATTGACTTTGAAATGTCTTCATGGTTTCTGCCTATAAAATAATCATTTTCATCATACGACGTTTTCTTTTATATTGAACAAGTTGGTATGAACTATTTTTTCATGTCTTCCACTTTTGTTAATAATTAAATAGGTCACTTTATATGAATCATCCTGTACACACGGAGAGAAGTGTTTAGTAGAGTAAACTAATTTTCCATAAAATATCAGCAATTCAGAAATCACAATTGGAAATATTAGAATTCTGTCTAAATTTAATCAGAAATCTTGATAATTTATCCTGAATTCTTATAACTTCAACCGGAACTTCTGTATTGTTCATATTTTATCATAAAAATTGCTTCGTTCAACCAAACATTCTTTTCTCTCTCTGCGTATGTGTTAAAGCCAACCAACGAGAGTTTATATATCAAATTTCATATTCTGCAAAATAATTTTTGTGAGCACATTGAAAAATTTGGATAATACCGTAGCTCCGTGTTTCTTGGTGACGTAAGCTATAGGATGTTCATCGTCCGTCGAATGAGGCACTGCTACCACCGCAATTTCTAACACTGCTGGATGTGTTAGTAGAAGATCTTCTATCTCCGCAGGTGAGATTTGATATCCTCTGTATTTTATGAGCTCTTTCAGCCTGTCGACCACGAACACCTCGCCATTCTCATCGATGTAGCAAAGATCACCCGAGTGCAACCATCCTGGAAGAAATTCGAATTTATTTCAATCATTTTCATGGAGAGAAACAGAGTTAATTTGTAATTTGGCAAATCCATCTAGTTTATATATTAGGTGTAGATAATTCTTCCGCTTCGTTCATATTTGTCAATTTATATGACGTCACAAGTCACACAAGAAATAAAACTTTTCACTACCTTCCTTGTCAATCGTGCTTTTTGTCGCCTCGGGATTTCTGTAATAACCAGTCATTATATTTTCCGATTTCGCCCACAGCTCTCCCATTTCGTTCGAGCCGATAGTCTTTCCGCTCTCTGGATCTACGATCTTTATTTGCACATTCGGCACTACAGATCCACAAGAACCGAGCTTGTGGTGCGGCATCTGACACGTTATTATTCCACCCAGTTCCGTCATTCCTAAAAACGCGAGATAAAATAGCGGTCAAACTTCTCTTCTGATAATAAATAATTTTGATATTTTGATAAATTTTGAAATTTTGCTATTTTGATATTTTGATAAATGACGATAAATCATTTTGAAATTTTGATGTCGCGTTTGTGACAATCCATCGTACGTATCGTCGGTACGATATCTACCGTAAGCCTGCAGTATGTCGACGTGCGGCAGAAGTCTTTTCAGTTCCTTCTGTGATTCCGGCTTGAGGATAGCACCGCCACAGAAGATAATTTTCAAGGTAGATAAAGAATAATTCTTTACGTAACCGGCTTTGAGGAATCGATTTGTCATGCTAGTTCCTGTGAACAGCCACGTCACCTGAATAGCAAGATGGGTTTTCAATGTATTTTATTACAAATGTAATTTCACGTTGGGATTACCGATTTATTGGATATAAAACTCGTGGACCGAGCATAACGTGTCTGTAAGTGTATAATAAAAAATTCATCGAAGATGCAAGTCGCAACTTAGTTGCCTATTATCGCGATTTGTTATTACATCGTACATCATGAATAGCAACATTTTATCCACAAACATAATTTGCATAATGAACTAATTTCGATTAAGTCGTAGAAGCGCTTATGTAAGCCAACATGTGATTTACGTAACGTTCGAAACAAAGTTCACACGGAGAACAGCAATTGCGCGACAATTGTGAAAAACAAACGAACAAACAAAGAACCTCCGCAAAAAGTGTCCGTTTTTCAGTCTCCGATTTTTAAATTAAATTTTATGCGCAATGACAGCTCATGATAAGACATTAATCACAAAAAAGTTTTACGTTGAACATACGATTAGTTTCAGAGGGCCAAAGTGGTCACTACCTACTGGGGAAGTTTGACATTAATAACGTTTTATTGCACGAATTTTTGCGAAATTCAGTATCTATGGTTTTTTTGAATTGTTTATTACGAATTCGATGTCAGATTTAAAAAATTCAAAATGGCGGATATAATATAGCATACGTAAATAGTGAAACAATTATTTACTTTTATTAGAATTGTTATGTTGTGGTTTTCTCGGCTAGCTGATTGGGAATTTCTATCAGATTTACATTTACCTTCAGCGTAGGCAAGATGAAAAAGTTATCCAGCCAATGAAGGCAAGATAAAAATGTTATCCAGCCACAGAAGACAACATGAAAAAGTTATCCAGCCAATGAAGGCAAGATAAAAGTGTTATCCAGCCACTGAAGGCGAGATGAAAAGTTATCCAGCCAATGAAGGCAAGATAAGCTTCTAAATATAATAAATAAAACTATCACGTTATCCTTTATGCGTCATGTAACGTATCAATTTGAATATGACATTTTTTTATGAAAAAACAATGAAAAAATACTTTTTCCACTCAAAAATTGTCGTTGAAAAAATTACTTTCGAAAACCTAATAGAAAATTTGCAATGAGCTAGCCAAAAAGACCACAACATAACAGTTCCAATAAAAGTAAATGATTGTTTCATTATGTGTATCCACCATGTTGCACCTGGCATCTTGAATTTTTAAAATCTGACATCAGATTTATAATCAGCAACTCAAAGAACCAATAGATACCGAATTTTACAAAAATTCGCACGATAAAGCGTTATTAGTGTCATATTTTCTTAGTAGGTAGTGACCACTTTGACCCTCTACATCTTTGAAACCAATCGTATGCTCAACGTAAAACTTTTCTGTAATTAATGTCTCATCATGAACTATCTTTTAGCATAAAATTCGATTCCAAAATCGAGGACCGAAAAACGGGCAAAAATCGAGCCTTTTTCTCTTTGCCCTCGGTTCTTGTTATCATTATTATTTGGTTGGTTATCATTATTATTAACGTTATATACTTGGTCGTTATTATTAGTTGGTTATTATTAATGGGTAGCTATTAGTGGATGGTTAACGCGTCTATGTCACGGTACGAGTGGTCTCGGTGACTTTCCTTACATTCGTCTTACCTTATATTTCTCGATTAAGATACACGTCATCTCTTCGTCAAATTTCGGATAGACGATCACCTTGGCACCTTGACTAATCGCCTTCAGGTTCAATATTATACCACTGATCCAGTAAATCGAGGAGAACCAAAGCGGCACCGTCTCGTTCATATTGATCTTGCTCTCTTCATTCAATGATAGCATAGAGTAATTGGACAACTCGACGCCCTTCGGCATTCCCGTGGTACCGGATGAGTGCAGGATGCACGACGTTTTCCTGATATTGTCATTCTCGACGTAACGGAAGCGCGCCGCTTGCGCGTCGCTGTAGCTGCTCAAAATCCTCGCGAACGAAACTGCGTCGGGGTGGCTGCCGAAGACCACCACCTTGGGCTTGTAATTCTTTTCGCGCGCTGCTTGCAGCACCACGCCTACGGATTTCTCGTTGCAGAAGATCACCTTCGGCTTAGTCATTTGCATTACATGCAGCGCAGTTTCTGTGGAATGATGATACGTTAGACTTATCGGACGAACGCTTCGAGTTGACTCCAAATTCATTTTCCTTCACGATAAATTTTCATTAAGCAAATTGGGTTTTCGAAGCTAATTAAATTCGAAGGTTGCTTTTGGAGTTAATTAGTTGACGAGTTAATGATTAAGCTTGAGATTTCAGGTAATTTAAGAGTTCAAAAGTGGTCGGAAGTTTATCGTAGAGAAGATTACGCAGGCTACGAATGATTGTAATGATGATTCAATTAAATAACATAACATTATACTTCATTGATATTAATTAATTGCTGACTACATGTATAAAATAATTTTAAGCGAAACTCAATTAAAGAAAGAATAATTTTAAAAATGTTTTACAATCCTTTTTACTTTTCTAATTTTAATATTCTAAAAATATATATATATATTTTTTTTATTATATATATTTTTTTATATTATATATATATTTTTTATTTATATATATTATATTATAATATATTATATATATTATATTTATAATTATATTTTACATATATATATATATATATATATATATATACACCATATATATATATTTATATTTAAGAATATCTCTATGAAATTTTGAAAGAGATACAAAGAAAATGAGGGAGAAGTAGCGATTTGAATACAAAGGCGTATGATCTCAAGTAGTCACGCAAGATTCTGCTTGCGTCTTCCATTTTTGACTTAAATATTCGGGTCGAATTCTCTTATTACCATCACCATTTCACTCGTTTCGTAATATCTAGTTTGCTCGTAGACGTTTGAACTCATGGATACATAAAAGCTCAGTAGTGCGATTCTTTAACTCGTTATTGGAGTTAACG